TTGCTTCTCTTCCATTAGTATTGATTAATTTACTTGTCTTCTAATTATTTATATGGTGTTGAATAGTATATGTCAAAATAAATGTTTTTATGCAAATTTTATTATTTTTTAATATGAAAAATAGGGTGAGAAATAGCCGTTCATTTTGCATTTATTTGATTTTGATTTCTACTTTATCTCAACGTGCGTTTGAAGGTCTGTTCATTCAGTAAAAGTCCTTTAAAGTCACACCAGTAGAACGAATATTGTCATATGCGATCTGAAATGACAAGAAATCGTAGTTCTGTTGAAAGAACTTTAGGACACGCAGCTTCACCTAACGAAAGCAAATCCACGTGTCAGCATTTACTGCGATGAAATGGAACTTCAGTGCCTTCTTAAACGAGGCCTTAGAAGAGAGAATCTAGATCAAAATGAAATAATTTATCTTTTAGTTTTATCAACCCTAATTAAATTTAATGAGCTGAATCATGATCAATTGGGGTCAAATCAATGGCTAAGTCTAAGTCAAATCTAGATTTTGACCCAGTTTATGATAGTTATATCTAATGAGCTTAATAGCCCCATGCAAAGATTATGCGTTTATTATAAATATAAAAAAACCGTGGCTTTTTCTCAAATTAGAAAAATGTCCAAATAAAATAATTTTAAACAAGACACGTGGCAAATTCATTTTGATTAACAGCCACCGTGAACGTTAATTGGCCCTCCATTAACGGTCCCTGCTAACGAAGAGCTGGAAAATCCTTCGGGTGGACTGACGCTCTCTTTGGCGGTCATAAAGAAAAAAAATAATTTTGTATTATTCATTCATTCTTCACACGATAAATTGTATTAAAATTAAAAACAAGACGAAAAAATATTGCATCAGGACTCCCCACATAAAGTTACGTGTGGAGTCTAATGAAATCACATCACGTGGAGGTGATAAAAAAAAATTGGTCCGGTAACACGAGAATATTCTCCTCTATTATTCCGTGTTATTCATGTGTTATTGTCTTTGTGATTTCATTGGACTCCACAGCTAACTCTATGTGCAGAGTCATGATGCAATATAAG